GTATGCCGTATAATTACTTGGTTGAACCTTGAAATATCTGTATTTACATAAATTCATAAATGTGTACGTGTACAGACTAGATGAATCACTTAAGACTCTAACGTTCACAATAATTATAGCGTGTGAAATCTGAGTGTAGAATTCTGTGGATGTATAAGTGTATTAAGTACTCATGATTGTATGTACATATTTTCGTAGTTTTAAGTATATCTTTACGTTTTAAATTATTTATATGCCACTTTCAGTATTTGATCGGAATTTTTTCCTTACTTTCTAAATGAAATTCAGATGTAAATTACGAACATTCACACGTTAGGCAACCTTGATGTTTGACAATTATTGATTACGTTAATTAATTATTGCACAAAGAAACTGTTAAGTGTTATATATGTAAACAGCTGTTAGACGTGACAGGCCATAAAACATGTTTTATGCATGATAAAAAAAACAGTGATGAATAAGCAGTATGAGAACACCGTAACCACAGCCTTTGGTAGATAATTTACGAAATTATAGTTCAAAACCTCATGATAGGCGCTATACTCGCTTCTACTGACTGACAGCTAGATATCGTAAGTAGCATCGACAGCCGAATTGTACGATGAAAACCTGTTTATTAAGTTGTATATTTTTCCTACAGGTGGCGTTACTTAAGTTAAAAATGGACGTCGTCATCTATTAACATTGCTATCAGCTTCAAGTAAATTATAAGAGGCCGTATATGATTGATCTACATCTCCATAGCGAAATAATAATTAAATGATTGACCTATAACTTAATTGATAACCGCAACATTTGATTGACGTTATCTCGATTTTGGTTATACATTTATTTTGTAAGCACGTTCACACACCTAAATCGGTAAAAAGACATGCTTTTGTATAAGCATTTGGTGATGTCGGTCTGAAAACTATGACCTTCTGTAATATATGAACTCTAAAGACTTCTTATTTTATACTTATGTTTAATAGAAGTTAATCTAATGATAAGCAGCATCTGATCTTAATGCTTACTCTTTTTCTTTGTTACACACTTATACCGGTACATCTGATTTTAAGGCTTACTCTTTTTCTTTGTTACACACTTATACCGGTACATCTAATCTTAATGCTTACTCTTTTTTTTGTTATATACTTATACCGATACATCTGATCTTAATGCTTACTCTTTTTCTTTGTTACACACTTATACCGGTACATCTGATCTTAATGCTTACTCTTTTTATTTGTTACATACTTGTACCGATACATCTGATCTTAATGCTTACTCTTTTTCTTTGATATGTAGGTGATCTCGAGAAAAAAAAAAGGTGACCTTCATGCTTTTACTTTTGGTACAAAATGTTTACAAAATTGGCTTTTACATGTTTAAAGTACATTGCTTAAGAATCAAAGATCTGAACATATATATTGTTATTCTAAATAACTTACATACAGCTAGAAGAAATGGAGCCATAAGTACAAAGCAAAAAAAAAAAAAGCGCCGATTGTACAACTACGCCAGCTATTCAAGTGACGTAAGCGGGTTTATGTGTAATTAGTTTTCTTTTATATATATGTAACAGATAAATTATAAATATGATATAATTGCTATGATATAATGCATCAATTATTATAATATAATTACTCTGTCAGGCCTTGGATTTTTCCGATTTTGTTAAACTCATAATTATAGTTTTTCACTTCCTAATTACACGTAAGAAATAGGAACATGGAGTTATCGTTTCTGTTTATATTAAGTGCTTTGTCTAGTTCATTATCAATTTTTTGTCTAATTTTTATAAACTACTTATTAAATTAATTTGCAAAATTTCTAAATATTTAATATCACCCCTTTGCACAATCACAAAATATTATTTTCTTATTTTCTTTAGCAAATATCCTTTTATACATTTTTTTATATGTATACAAATACATAAGGTTTTACATTCTTTGTTCCAATCCTTTAATGACCCGGAATATGTAACAGTTTATTCCATCTTACCCTTTAATGACCAGGAACATGTAGCATTCTATTCCAACTTATCCTTTAATGACCAGGAACATGTAGCATTCTATTCCAACTTACCCTTTAATGACCAGGAACATGTAGCATTCTATTTTAACTTATCCTTTAATGACCAGGAACATGTAGCATTCTATTCTAACTTATCCTTTAATGACCAGGAACATGTAGCATTCTATTCCAACTTATCCTTTAATGACCAGGAACATGTACCATTCTATTCCAACTTACCCTTTAATGACCAGGAACATGTACCATTCTATTCCAACTTACCCTTTAATGACCAGGAACATGTACCATTCTATTCCAACTTATCCTTTAATGACCAGGAACTTCTAGCATTCTAAGTTCCAACTTATCCTTTAATGAACAGGAACATGTAGCATTCTATTCCAACTTACCCTTTAATGACCAGGAACATGTACCATTCTATTCCAACTTACCCTTTAATGACCAGGAACATGTAGCATTCTATTCCAACTTATCCTTTAATGACCAGGAACTTCTAGCATTCTAAGTTCCAACTCATCCTTTAATGCTAGGAATATATATATAGCATTCTATTCCCAAAACAATGTTGTCGTGTAATTGTTTGACTTCACTGTTAATTTTTCTCACTTTAAACAATAAAAACAACATTTCACTTAAACCTTATAGATGAAATTCGTACATGTAAATACAATAAAAGGATTTCATTCAATAGTGTGAATTAAAACAAAACAATGTTGTCGTGTAATTGTTTGACTTCACTGTTAATTTTTCTCACTTTAAACAATAAAAACAACATTTCACTTAAACCTTATAGATGAAATTCATACATGTAAATACAATAAAAG